ACAGGGTCTTATCTGCATGGTCTAGGCTGGCCTTAACCTTGACATTGAAAGGACTGGAGTTTGCACAGGACACACCAAGACCAAGTTCTTAGCACAAAGATTTATTTGCCCCAGAGGGACAAAGGACAGAGAATAGAGACAAATATAGGAGACAGAGGCTGAGAGACAGAAGCAAACGAACAAAGAGGGAAGCGGGGATATTTATCCAGGAGTTGGTCTGGAAAGAGGGGAGACAGATGTGATTCGTAGGCAAATGGCAGTTTATAAATGGTAAGGGGGGACCTCATGTTAGGATGAGTTGGTTCATTTTGATTGACCATGTTAATTAGGACAGCTCCAAGGGGGCTTTTGATTGCTAGACTTCCATACTTTGATAGCTAGACCTTGGTGATCAGTCTTAGAAATGAGCCTGGCATAAGAAAGTGTCCAAATAAGGAAAACGAGCTTGGTGGCTAGCTTTAGGCATGTAATGTATGATTTACAAGACAGAGGGTTGGGGGGGGCAAGACTTGCCAGCACCATGTTTGCCGTGCTCGGGCGTGCTAGAGCTCTTCAGACATACCTTAGCTTCCTAGATGCTATATCATAATAGCCATGAGCCACCAAATCTGGCTCTTTGGGAATGTTTTAAGCATTAGCATGTAGATCTCAAAGGGAGCTGTCTCAAAGGGCATATGTCCTGTTTTTGCAATCCCAACACTGAGAAAGCTGAGGCAAGAAGATCTGGAGTTCAAGTCAAATCTGGCAACGCAGTAAGACCATCTCAAAACAATCAAAGAAAAAACGAGAGAGATGCCGGCTTCGTGGGAGAGTGCTTGCCACACAGGCTTGAGGACTTGAGTGGGGAAGCCAGCACCTAGGTAAAAAGCCCAAATGAGGAAAGCAAATAAGAGGGTAGCTAGGATTCACTGGCTCCAGGCTCAGTGAGAGACCGGGTCCTAAATGGAAAAGACAGGGTGAGACCTCCTTTGGCCTACACACACACACACACACACACACACACACACACACATACACACACATACACACATACATACACACACATACATACATACACACATACATACACATTTATACATGGCAAGTTTGTGAACTCGAGTCAAAGTCTTGTCCGGTTCCTTTTAACAAACATTCTAGCCCTAAGAGCTTTGAAGTTTGGAGCTTCTCCTGCAGTGTCCTGCACACTAACCGCTATGGGGGAGCCCCTCCAGCAAAGCAATCCCAATCTTCAGGGGACTGCTGCCTCCGTGCATCTCCCTCCTCTCCCCCAGCAGCTCTTCATCCCTTGATTCCATTTAAAGAAGGCTCTCTCCCCTCTTTGAGGGTAGAGTTGGAGTGAAGATAAGGCTTCTAGTATGAGAGTCTGTTTCCTAGTTCTCACATTCAAAGAGGAAGGCCACTGGGGTTATGCCCACTTCTGCACATGACTGGTTTAGGATGAAGCAATCCATGCAGGGCGAGCATTGGAAGCAGAGGGAGAAGCATGAGGTCAGCACAACCGGAACCACACAGTAGCTCAGCTATGTGGGAAGGCGAAGGGCAGGGAAGAGCGCGGGCAACACTTCTTAGGCCATTACACTTGGAAATCTTGATATCACTTGGAAGGCTTTATTCTTATTACTTTTGTTGTTTGTTTGTTTTTAGAGGCAGGATCTCTCTATGTAGCCCTTGAACTCTCTTCGTAGATCAGACTAGCCTGGAACTCAAGAGATTAGCCTGCCTGCCTCTGCCTGACCAGTGCTGAGATCGAAGGTTTTGTTCCCTGTTCTCAAAAGAGAAACATAAACACCACACTAGCCACAAACCCTTTATCTACTATGGTGTTCCTCCTGCAAGCTATGCTAAGGCAGTGGAGGCACAAAGCTAGCAGAGTAACCAGACAATAATTGATTTTCTTAGGGACCACTCCACAAGATGGAATCCATATCTGACACTCCTTGGGTGGCTCAGAACCTGAGATTAGAAAGCACAGGGATCTAGGGTAGAAGCAAACAGCAGTGATTATGTGTGTGTGTGTATTGTGTGTATGAGTATGTATACAAAATATATCTATTTAGAAATATAGATAAAATGACTCCTAATGATATTCTGCTACACTCATAGACGGATACCCTGCTCAGCCATCATCAGAGAAGCTTCCTCCTGCAGCAAATAGGAATAAATATTTATTTATTTATTTATTGTGGAGATCCACAGCCAGACACTATACAGAGTGAGAGGCTTTGGAACACTCAGCCCTAAAGAGATGTTTCCATTAAATCCCTCCCCTCGGAGTCAGGGAAACACCCCCACCCACCCGCCAGAAGAGACAGAAAGATTGTAAAAGCCAAGGGGGTGGAGGACACCAAGAAAACAAGGCCCTTTAAAGCTCATATAAACCCAGGGACTGAAGTGGCATGCACAGAGTCTGCACCAGATCCTCTGCACATACACACATAAACTGGCTTCCAGGTTAGTGTTTTTATGGGACTCTTGGGTATGCAAACAAGTGGGTCTCTGAGTCATGTGCCTTCTCTTGGCATCTTAAGCCTAGCCACTAGGGTAAGGTTAACAACTGGACTGTCACATATAGCTGCTGGGAGAGGGAACTAAGCACTCCAGAACAGGATTCATGTTCAACATATAATTGGACTCCACAGTCTGTGTGTGCTTTTATTTGATTACAAATTGATGTTAATTTTTCTTTTTGGGTGTGGTTTTGTATTGTTTTTTGAGAAAGAACTTAAGGTAGGGTGGTGTCAATGGGGAGAGGCTCTAGAGGGACTTGAGGGAGGAAAATATTATCAAAATATTTGAATTAGAAAAGTTTTCAATGACGAAAAATGTAATAAAATCAAATTTTAAAATAAAACATATATGTTTGACTTTAAGGGGGTGGGGGAAGGTATGTGCCACCACACTTAGCTTTCAGAGTGTTCTAGTGAGATGAGGAGCTCTCAAGACCTAGGCCTGGGAAGATGGCTCAGTCGGCAAACTGTACACTTTGCAAATATGAAGACTGAAGTTCAGATCCTTTGCACCCATGTAAAAGCTGAGCACAGCAGCATGACTCTGTAATCCAGTGCTTGAAGTGGGTACCTGAGGCCCCTTAGCCAGCTAGTTAAAAGTTCACTGAGATTCTGTTTCAGTGGGTAAAAGTGCTAGCCACATACACCTCAGTGGAAGGAGTACCATCTCCTGAAAGCTGTCCTCTGTGGACCAACAATATGGCTCAGCAGATAACAGCATCTGCAGCTAAGACACTGAGTTCCATCCCTGGGATCCACAGAGTGGAGACAGAGGACATTTCTACATACTGTTTGCCCTCTGACCTCCACACATGAAGGATCACACACATACAAATAAGTAGATGCATGTTTTTAAAAGTTGCATTCTGGCTTCTGCACAAACACCATTGCATGAGAATACTCACACACATAAAATAATGTCTTTTAAAATGTGAAGAGTAGCTATTGACTGACAGACACCTTCCCAAGCACACACACACATGCATTCAAACACATGCACACATACACCACACTGGATGTCTGCTGATATGAGTGTGTGTTAAAATAGATCAATAAACTTCCTAATTTACATAAAACACACAGGAAGACAGGTGGCATTTTTCAATAGCTGCTTCAGAATCAACCTTTATTTAATAGTTGAGGCTACAGTATCAGTCTTCAGAAGCATATATATAAATACAGTCACAGACCATAAATACCCATTGGGCAAGATGTCTACCTTCAGGGAAAAACAAACAAACAAACAAAAAACTTCAAAGTAAACAACCTTAATGCTGAGGCCCACTAACTACTGAGGTAACTTCATCCAAAGTGACTAGCCACATGACACCCTTCCCATGGACTCGAGACCCTTGTCTCCAAACAAAAATGAAAAGGATACACATGCTGAAAGCAAACAAAATATTTAAATTATAAATAGGTAAAATAAATATTATTCCTGTAAAACTCAATCGTGAGATTCTTTCTTTCTTTCTTTCTTTCTTTCTTTCTTTTTTTTTTTTTTTGGACAGTTTTTTAGTTTTAGTCAGCTGACAAATTAAACGTGTTTATGGGCTTAGTTTCAACACATGGCTACCCCGGGGAAAGATCACACAATTATCAGTACGTCCCATCACTTCTGGTAGGCATCAGGCCCTTGTGATCAGAACAGGCAACATCCATTCAGTTGTTGTCAATTATACATCAACTGTAGTCGCCTCAACGTGTAAAAGAACAGAACTCACTTCCAGTCTTCACCCTAAAACTGACTGGCCCTTTTCTCATCTCCTCCCCCTCCCCCTCATGTTATTCCTATTAGTTCACTTTGACTTCTGTCAAAATATAAATGACAAGAGAGGCACCTGGGATATGTAACATCTATGTTTCGACAAATACCATTTCCTGCCTTTTACGGCTCAATTCTGTTTCTGTTCCCACTTTTAAAATCCTTTCATTCCTTGATTGGTTGTTTCCATGTCTTGGCAGATACAGATTAAAAAAAAATACAGAAGTACAGACGTCCCTTCAGCAGACAGATCAACACTTTTTCATACTTTCTCAGTAGTGGGACAGCTGAGTTTTAAGGTGGTTCATTTCTTAGCTATTAAAGGAGTCTAAAGGCTGTTTTTACAAAATAACGGTCCTACCTTACAGTACTAACAAAAATATACAAAAAGTCCTTACTCTGCTTGTTAGCTTTCAATTCCAGTAACAGGCAAACCGAGAGAGTATAAGATCATTTCCTGATGATTTTCATTGACATGTCTCTGATCATGTATCTGCTGATCACCTGCCTTTTGGGAACGTCTACTCAAGTCTCTTGCCTCTGTTAACCAGAACCGATTTGCTATTGGGCAGTCTGAGTTTCACATTTATAGATCAAATTAAAAATGAAACTCTCAACCTAGTGATGCTGTCACTTGCCTTTAATCCCAGCACCTGGGAGGCAAAGGCAGGTGGAGTTCAAGGCCAGCCTGGTCTACAGAGGGAGTTCCAGGATAACCAGGGCTACACAGAGGAAAGAAACCTTGTCTCCAAAAACAAAAAACAAGAGAGAAGGGGGTGGGGGTGGAGGGACTCTAAAAAATACCTATGACAGGTTACAAAATTTTAGAAACTTCTCATGAATCTTTTACTAAGTTTTAATTATGTCAACTTTTAAAAGTTTGTTTTTAAACTTTTCTCCGGTTATATAAAATCCAAACTCTTTTTATCACATACTATTCAATCTGCAAGAGTTTGACTGGCACCTACTGACCTTGTTATACTTCTAATTTCCCCCCAGTTACTTTGTAGTCTCCCCGTACTCTCAGATTAATGGTTACAGTAACACACTTAAAAGTCATCTAAACAAACACAATACAGTTAAGCTTGTAGTGACCTATGAAATAAATTTTCACTAGAACATTCAGTGTTATCAAAAATGAAATGCTTCCCCTTAGAAGATCATGAGGATGGAACTAAATAGTACATTGACTGGAGTTGTCAAAAAGCAGTCCTGAATGACTGTCCCCATACAATGTAACCACTCACCATGCCCCCTCTTCTATTACTCTTGACAACAACCTTTGGCAAAAACACCAGAACAACTCTAAAAAGACAGATTACTAGTTACTTCCCGAGCTCCATGACTCCTTTAGTCTTGTTTTTAAAATAAAAATAAAAATAAGCACGGTTTCACGTTATCACATCTCAAAGAACGATCTCTGAAAACTTTCCCAAAGAAACTCATTTCCATCTCCATCATCCCTGCTCAGAGAACCAAAAGCAAGTGAGTGTTTCCCACATCACATCACAGTCCATCCAATACCAGGCATTTGCATCAGCAGGGGAACTTCCTTCTTAGGAGGTCCCTTCTCTCAAAAGCTTTCGAAGAACTCAGGTTATTAAATTGAAGAGCTTGGAAATAAAATTCAGAAGTTTCTGTCGTAAATTCACTTTGTCTCCAATTCTCCGGAGTTGAGCACACTCGTCCTTCAGGTCTGAAAAAAGAGTCAGACATAAACATTAAGTTGGACAACTGTAAGTTCCAACTTTAGACCAGTAAGAGTTAACACACAACCCGAGTGAAAGAAAGGCCCTTCTCAGACACTTCTGCGACTTTGGTGCACCTGACTTTCCCAACAAGGCAATACAAACACACATGGGTCAGGTAAGGGTATAGGCATTTGCCTTGTCTTTTTCAAAAGCACCCTGAATGAGGTCAGTTCTCTTCCAAGTATAGAAATTACATGTATTAAAAATTTACCAGCTGTGCCATTAGTCAGCCCTTAGCCGTCTCCCATGATGTCATCCCTTTCTCTTTTATGGTTGGGTAGGGAACAAAAGTCAAATTCCAATCTTTTTGTGATATTTTCAAGTAGACTTGATCTTCTAATGATCTCCTAGCTCTATGCCTCCTTCACAGCAGGTAAATAAACATTATCTTTAGAAACTCTTTCTTTCCCCATAACAATCATAGGATCGCATTGAAAAGTCGGAGTTATACTTTTAAACAAACTCATTTTGTTGATTTGAAGTAAAGTCTCCTGGCTTAGCAAACAAGCCTGCAGTGTAGCTGACACCCCTGAACTCCTTAATCCTGCCTCTGCTTCCCAGTGCTGTGTGCACGGGACTACAGCCTGGCTTTCTAAAATAATTTTCAAATTTACATTTTGAGGTAGGCCAGTCTATTTCTACAAGCCCGTTCTGTATCAATCCATTGTCCTTTACAGAGAAGAGTAAAGAAGAAAGTTTGATTTGCATATTGGTAATTATTCCCATATTTTCTTTGAACTGAAGTAATTCGCTGGATGTTGTGAAGAAAAATAATATGTGCATGCCTTTGATCCCAGCACTTGGGAGGCAGAGGCAGGGAGGTCTCTGAGTTCAAAGCCTGCCTACAGAACTAGTTCCAGGACATTAAAACACTCTGTCTGGGAAAGCAAAATAATGAAGATGACGGCTGAAGATATGAGTAGTTGACAATGTTTGCCAAAAGGCATCTGGTGGCACATAAACTGTAATCCCAGAGGTAGAGCCAGAAACTCAAGGTCATCTTCAACTACATAAACAGGTTCAAAGACAGTTTGTGCTTAATGAGAACCTGTCCCTCCCCCGCCCCCACCCCAAAAATTCCTCTCCCCCGAAATAAAACAAACACTACAGAAGTGATAAGTAAAACTCCTAGACATCCCAAAAGGTAGGCAGGATTTCTCCCATTCAAGCAAGCACCAGAGAGAGCTGACCTGGGGCCAATTAAGCCGCGGACCCACTAGCTCTGTAACATTTTCTCAGCACGCCAGACTAGGCTAGGACAAAAAAGGCTGCTGCGAACGTCTGATAACAGCAATTCTGACCTACAGATGCCCAACTCCTAAAGCAGCTGGCTGCAGATCTTTGATGAGGTTCACAAAAAAGTGCAGGATGGAAAAAAAGAACTTCTCACCAGTTAGACCGGATCCCTTCAGCGGGACAGTTAAAATGCTAACTAAGGAGGAAGGCGTCCTGGGTTCCAGAATTCAGGCACCCCAACGGGGTGTCCTTAAACGGCCCAGAGTAGAAAAACTGCTTGTTATTAATCCTGGGGGTGGGGCATTCTCAGTGACAAGCCCTCTGAGCTGAGAGCTCCTAGAGGCGATGCCCAGCGCCTCGGACAGCACCCCCCTGGCTGCCAGGGATTCTCTAGGGTAGCTGCCAGCCCCCACCCCCACCACTGTGGAAATGGGCAATCTGCAGAGAAAAGAAGCCTGGCTAACATGCAAGCTGCTGCTTCGAGAACTTTCTTACAGTGTTCCTCAGGCACGCGCCAGGCGGGCATGAGCTCCAACGGACTAAGCCGGCCTCCTCCGCAGCCCTGCAGCGCCCGGACCCTTACCTGCTGACACCCGGGTTGGGCTTGGGCTCCTCATTGTGCTCTTTCGCGACTTCTTGCCAGGCATCTGCGCCAGAACCGCAGTTATGTCCCGTGCACTCCACATGCAATACACGTTGTCTCCAATCTTCCTGAGTTGAGCTGCAAGCTCAGGCACTTGCTCTAAAAAAGAAACACCTGGAAATTAACATTGAAAGCAATCCTACCGGTGACTCACAAATTAGCACATCCTAGGATGCTACTTGGGTGCACCCACACACCACACTTGGTGGCTCAATAAAAGTTACGAATAGAGACAAATCACTTTAACCAACCCAGTGAGGTCTCCCTTTTATCACTCAAGACTGACCAAGGAACAGAAGTCAATTTCTAAAACCCTGTCGTTTAAAAGTAGATCTGCTTTTCCAATGGCAATTGGAGGGTGTGATTGGGCTTGGGCTCCTCATTGTGCTCTTTCGCTACTTCTTGCCAGGGATCTGCGCCCTGCTATGCCCACCTTTAAAAACTTGTTATTTTCTCATTAAAAAAAAAACTCATAAAATTTACTATAATAGTCCACAGCCTACTCTGTACAAATTCATCACATCTACAGAAAAGCAGAAAAGTTAAATTCATGTCTTGCTTTCTAGAAATTAGACATTCTAATAGCTGGAATGAACTAAATATTAAGAAACACTGTCACAAGTAAAATTAACATGCAATCTTCTATTTTTTAAAAATATTTCAAGGGCCAATTTTGATTGTTCTGGTACCCCTCAAGACTATGGACCAAAAAGTATGAATACAAATTTAAAAGCTTGTCTCTTTTGTAACCAAGAAAGATACTGGCTGATTAGACTCCCAGAGAACTTGAACTTTAAGTACATAGCAAAACTAGCTCTTAAACCTATTTTTGGATAAATTTCTGTATTGGCTGAAGTGAAATCAGAGGCCCTAAGAGATTCCATAATGCATCATGTTTTAATGACTTCCAGGGTCAAATATTTCCAGAAATATTCACAAAACATTCTTTAAGGTGCAACATATTAAAGGTAGAACACAAATTGAGGAATCCTGATTTCTACGAGCAATTAGTATTGTCTCAAAAGGGAGAGGCAAAAAGCAGCTCAAAGATTCCAGGGCCACGGACATTCCGGACAATTGCTCTACCCTTGCGCTCCAACTAAGTCCTACTACCTTGATTTGGGAGGAAGAACGGATTTTTTTTTTTTTTTTTTTTTTAGCCGATCTCACTATGTAACAGAGATCTACCTTAAACTATACAGTCCGGGCTAATTCTCCTGCCTCAACGTCCTGAGCGCTAGAGTTAGGGACAGGTACGCCGGCAACGTATTTTTATTGGAACTACACATTCACTACTTGACCTCGAGACACTCTGCTGCTCTTTAAATCTGTCTAAACAATGCCATGCTCATGTTGGACCTTAAAGAAACATGGTCTGAACGCTTAGACAGCACCACTCTCATACTGGCAATGGACCGCTTCGGCATTGCCCCCTGGCCTTATAAAACAATAACTGAGTATGCTGCACAAAGTTATTTCCGGACAAGAGTCTTGCAATTCCTTAGCAGGTGCCTGCCACCTTTGATCTTTTTTTTTTTATATAAAAAACGGAGGTGGGAGGCGACCCTCAATAGTTACAGAAAGTTGCATGTAAGCGATTGTATTAGAGTTGGTGGGTCAAAGACTCCAGGACCAAATTCTATTCTCCTGGATCTCCCTTCTGATCCGGACAGTTAAAAACTTCTCAACACCAGAGACTCAGTCCCACGCATCCATGGGTTCTGGGCGTGAGCGCTGGGAGAGTTCGAAGTTTGAAGACTACTTTTCTAAGTGTTGGAGGTGGAGTGGGGATCGAGATGAAGGGGGCTCTCAAAAATGGTCTGGCGAGGAAGAGGGCCTGTCAGGGGAGCGCTAGGCCAGGAGGCCTCTCCCACCCCTACCTACCGCTAAAACCATCTTCCAGGCCATCGCCTGCACGTGTATTTTTCTCTCCTCCTGGTCCATGATAGAGCAAGCAGAGACCCACGAAACAGACGGGAATTCTGGCCTAAAATGCACCTGCATCCCAATGACGCGCTGGGCTGGACTCTCCCTGAGGCCCGCAGTCACGGTAGAAGACCCTAAAGAACTTTCTAGATCAGTCGTAGGCACGAGCCGGAGAGCCGATTTGGACCGAACATGCAGGCGCGTACATTCTAGCCCGAGCCCCAAGGGCTGAACCGTCCCCAGTATGACCTCAACCCCATCCTGCCTGGGTGTCCGCGGGCCGAACTGCTAAGTACCTGCCCGCGTTGAGTTCACTGGCGCGTTCCGACGCGCCTCTCTCCCGGGCATCTCAGAAACGCCGGGGCGATCTCCGCTGCGCACCGGGGACTGAGATCCCCAATCTGGACTCTGGGGCTCCCCCAGGACTTGGGCTGTGAGGGATGGACCGCGGGTGCCGCGAGCCAGACGCACCAAGCTTCAGCAGGCAGCACCAGCGCTGGAATCCTCTCAGTCCGGGAGCCCCAAGCCGGCTCTCGCGTTTTATGGGGACTTCTCCAGTGACGTAATGTGACGACACCCCCCGTGTCCCCGCCCCTTCGAGCGGCGGCGGCGCGGGAACCGAGCGAAGTGGAGCAAGTCTCGAGACGTCCCCGAGCGCAACTTGCCGGGGCAAGCCGCAGATCGCCGCGGTGCCGACCTACGGCGGAGGGCGCAAGGAGGACGAGTCCTGCTCAACCCCCAAATTGCTTTCTTAAAAAACGAAGGTGGGAGGGAATCATCAACTCTTGAGAGGTCGTGTCCATCGCTGGGGCAGTGGCGACGGTCACGAGTTGCTAAGAAAATCTTACTGGGAAGAAAGTTGGGGGTGGGGTGGGGTGGGGCCAGGCGCCTCGACTTTATTATTCTTCGCCCATTAGGGACGAATGTAAACAACCCCAGAAAGGAATGGGGGAAGGGAAAACTTTTCGAATTCTAAAGTGTGGTTCCTTCCAAGGAAGTGAAAAGAGTGGTAGACATCACCTGAGAAGAGTCCCAAGTTCGAGTACAAAATTAAACTTTGAAAAAGTTGCGTAATGCGTAATGACTGCGATTTGTTAAGATAAAGGAGGAGATGATGTCTGCCCTAGGCAGGAGCGTTCGGGTGTGGCTCCTGGCTTCAGGGAGGGACTGGGATTGTTTAAAAAAAAAAAAAAACTGCGCACATTTCCTCTAGATGTGTTGATACAGCCCAAAGAAGGGACCACCTTCATCTACGAAGTGTCCGGATCCTTTGTGGAGGGAGGAAGATGAGATCTTTGGGAAAGGGAACTTCCTTGAATATTGTCTGGTGCTTGAATAATTCTAGATAACAGATTTAGAGGCCTTCATGATAGACTTGAGATTGCAATTTGTATTCCTGTCCTCAATCTTGCACTGGGAAGTTTGCTCACTTTTCAGATGCAATAGTAATTTGATAGTGATTAAATTGCCCAAATTCACCTAGGCAAACAGCAACACCCCTCTGAAGTGAACCCAGGCAGCCCCACTGGGAGCAAGGGCAGGAACTCACTGGTCTCAAACAACAACAAAAAGGTGTTGCTTTATTTTGCATTTTATATTGCTCTGTATGATGCAGACCCTCCAAGTTCAGTACCGGCAGCTGCATAGAATTCCGAGAAGTGTTCGAGTTGTTCACACTAGTTTAAGCCCGGATTGTTGGGGTCTCTTGGAAAATGAGTTCCAGCAACTTAGACTTCATTTTCCAAAATAGCCACGTAGTAAAGTTAACAAAGTGGGAGCCACCGGGTTAGAGGGAATTGGAGCCCCCAGTTCCCGCTGCCTGTCGTCCTTCTTTACATTCAATGGCTCCTGTATGCTTCTCAGCCTGCTTGTTTTCCTTAAATCATTCCATCTGTGAACTAGCAAATATTTATTTATTACTTGGTCCTAGAGAACTCATAGACAACACGGAGAGAATGAACGAAAGTACTCGGGCTTAGCAGCTTTGTTTTAAAGCTGCTGGTGAATGTGTCATGAAATAAATTATCACTTACAAGACTTTCAGAGGGGCGGTACGGATGGATGGATAAATGGACGGAAGGACGGACTGACAGACGGAACTTGTGTTCCTCAAATCCCTTCCAAAGCTCACACTGACTTCTTTAGTTCATTAGAATACCGTTAATTTATTGATTGCATCAACTAATGAACTTAAGTTTAAACCGCAGGCCCTGAAATGTAATCAGTACACAGACAGTGAGAAAAAGCAAATTACAACATTGTTTACCAACAAAAGGCTTGCCTGAAGCAATCCTATCTTCTGTCATTTTCATTGTAAAAGATCTTTGATCCATCCAGGATACAAACCTTTGAAAAAAAAACTGTGTCTTTACCGGAATTACAAATTCTAATTAAAGAAAAAAAAAAAGAAAGGAAAGAAAGGGATTTGATTTGAGTAGGATTCAGAGAAGGTCAAAGCAGGCTGTTAACGGGTGACATTTTTAAGAATTCAGATTTGAAACTGTAGATTTTTTTTTTTTTTGGTCTACCTTTTTAGGAAGAGAATTAGAAGTCACGTGAGAAAAGTGTACCTGTGTACCTCATAAAATAGCATTATATGTTTGCCTTGCAAAAATATTAATCATGGGGCTACAGGAGATGATGAAATAATGAAGTTATCAATATGGGTTCTAATCTACAAACTGAGGGGATAGGGGGTCCTGATAAGAATGACAATTTTGAAAACCATTACCACGGATCAAGATCTCTGTTGTTAAGATTGTGTGTGTGTGTGTGTGTGTGTGTGTGTGTGTGTGTACTCAGGTGTACTCAGATCCTCCAAAAAGAGCAGGTAGTCTCTGCGGCCAAAGGTAACTGTAATCCTCCTGCCTCTACTTCCCAAGGACTAGACTGCAGGGATGTGCACCACCACACCCAACTGCCAATGTGGTTTTGGTTTTGGTTTTGTTTTTGAAGAAAGAGTTTCTTTGTGTAGCCCTGGCTATCCAGGAACTCCCTCAGTAGACCAGTCTGGGTTTGAACTCAGAGTCCCGCCTACCTCTGCCTCTGGAGTGCTGGGATTAAAGGCACGTGCCACCATCACCAATTTAACAATTTAAAGAGATCTAATCAAGTTGATGTAAAGTTTAGAAGAATGGAAGTTTCTCCTCATTTAATGGTAGTGCACAATCTGTTCCAGGCTCTCAGGCTGCTTGTCCATTTCTGTTTATGCTGTACACTGCACACATGCTGGTGGGCCTGAAGTTCTCGGTGCGCTTGGGACCTAACAGTCTGAAACATGGAAATGAAGTTTTAAAAAAAGCATTTTCCAAGTGCATCCCTGTCTAACTGTTGTTCCTCTCTATTTGCTTATTTGACAGATGAAAAATATAATTTAGTAACGACAATGACCCAAAATGTGCCCCAAAAGTACTGTGTGCTCCCTCTCTCTCCCTCCCTCTCTCCCTCCCTCCCTCTCTCCCGCCCC